CACGTAAAGACTAACGCCACCGCCACAGCCGACACCTCTACCGCAAACAACAACAAGAAATGCAACTGCCGACAGAAAAACTCATGCCCTCTAGACGGAAACTGCCTCCAACAATCTGTCATATACCAAGCTATCATTACACGTAAAGACAACAGCACGACAGACACATACATCGGGCTCACTGCAAACGACTTTAAGTCGCGCTACAACAACCGCACCTCATCTAAAATTCCGTCAAAAATCGTTCTCATTCTTATGCTGAGCATTCAGTTTGAACTCTCCTTTTATCATACTGCTCTCTAATTGGGAATTCATAAAGCTTGATTTGGTTGTGCCTCTCGTAGCGCATTTGAATAGCTCATTCGTTCTATACCATATGCAGCCGTGGTTGGCCGTGCATTATCATGACCTTAAAATGAAAGGTGGAGGACAGTGATTGACTATCCTTTTTTTTTTTCAACAGCTAGGCAAGTTTCTGGTACTGAAGACCAAATGGAGAGAATCAAGAGAAGTCTAAATTTTGTTAGCGATGGTAAGCGGATAATCCTTGGAATTTCAGTTTTTACCATCCGCTACTCGTTTTCCAACTTTTCATTTCCAATGACTGTACATTATATTTAGAACTGATTGGCGACAGCTAACTTACTTAAAAGACCCATATTGTAATGATTTACGCGATTAAATACCTTCCTCGAATAGACACTACCGGCCCATCGTCGCAGACTGGGAAAAAAATTAGCAATAAGAGTTTCCCTTCGATAAAAGCTACTCTGGATCGGAAGAATACGACGTCTATTAGAGTGTAAAACGCAAAAGAACTGAAATAAATAACAACAACGATAACGACGGGACGCACCAAAAATGAATAGTCGGCACTATCAATGCCGGAAATTTATGATAGAAATAGCATCTCTTTAACCCAATTTTTAGACATGATTTTTATCAATTTTTCCCGAAGTTTGCAGTTTGAAGAAACCCACCCTCGAATAAATTTTCGCTTTTGAAACACTAAAAAGTATTCTAGCGCCGAAGTTTTTGTTGAAGTAAATATGATGATTGGGATAAGTGACGTGTTCCCAAATTCCATGCCCATGTTTTCTTCCTGAAAAATCCCATGTTTCTTTTTAAAGTTCACATAAAGCGAGTCGAAATTAAGGGAAATGGTTTCCGCGTCTGTCTCAGGTGTACAGAAATGGGAAAAGAAATGCGATGAAGCGCTGAAGCATCAAGAAACAATCAGCGTCAAAGCCTGGGTGAAAGCCATGGACAGCAGAATAACTTCCCTCGGAGGGGAGGGTGTAGAGCGGTTTTTAGGAAATCTGTTCCGCGCGTTTGATGGGTTGTTCGAGAGTTCATCTCTCCCTCCAAAGGCAGCTGGAAAAGCGGTGACAATCATGCAAAGAGTGCGGCAAATCAAAGCGGTAAGTGACAGTCTTAGGCAGTGGTGGATCCAGGGGAGGGGCCCGGGGGTTTACTCGAGAAACTGTACAATTTCGTCTCCACCATAAAATTTATGTATTTTGGCTTACTCGTCATATATTACCCGTATCCTCATGTTTGAGTCGGTAGTAATAACAAATATGGAGAGATTTGTTGCAAGTCCCTCTAGCCCAGGGGATGAAGGGCTAACTTTTGTAATGTGACCTGTCACATAATGATTCTGTTAACCTGACTATACTATCAAAGCACAACACTTTAACAACCATGAACGCTCCTCTTTATGGTGACATGTTTCGTTCACATTTATAGATGAGAAACGAAAATCAATTTGAGATACCGGAGAGTTAGAGCTGATTGTGCCTCACGCGAAGTGGCATTACATTTTGAGCTTTTGTGATTTCCATGCAGTTCACAAGGTTCTAAGCTGAATGGATGTTTTTTTCTTCCCTTTTCGCAGGCGTTTGACCAGATCTTCATGAAAGACATTACACTTGGGCGTGCGAACTACCACGCCGACAGAGTGCTCTATGACATTGCAGAAATAGCCAACATCAAGATTTACTGTCATAAGAAGAAATGAGCCCAAGGCTTTTGTTATTATCTGATGATCTTGTATAATATTTTAACGTCGAGCTGGAGGGGAAAGCCGTCTTGCTTTCGTTGCCTGTTTTAGGAGGGCTTTATTCCATATCAGTTTGTCAAAAACGTTCAAAAGTAACCTTCAGAATGCTTTTGAAGATCATCTCCGTTTGTAGTTTTACATTGTTTAAGAAAAGATCTCGAACTTTCTCCGGACTTTGTTCAAGTTTCTTCCTGTTAAGGCGCGCGCTTAGTACTTGAATTCGGAATGACTTTTGCTAAAATGAGCAGAGATGTTTCACCCTCGTTTAAAAATGTAGATCCCTTTGTGCTCGATCAGTAATTCAATCTGACTGGCCGTGTGCAACTCGTTATCAATTCCGTGATAGAGAAGTAACCTATTTGTATCATTCACAACAGTGGTTTGTCTTGTTGATAAGTTTTGAACGATTGGTAGATTTAAAGAAATGCAATTAGATCATTTGCTGTCGACTTCAATGCGTGCTAGTTCGTGATAGTTCGTGATAGTTAACACCTATTCACCAAAGTGGATGTGGCTAGTGGTGGATATTTACCGAGCCGCGAAGCGGCGAGGTAAATATCGACCGCTAACCACCGACAATGAGGTGAATAGTTGTTTTRGTATATACTAAAACAGTGAGATAATATACGCCACCGTCGTTAATTTGAGTGATTTCTTCGCTTGTCACCGATGCAAACCGGGACGCCATTTTTTCCCGAGTTGCTCGGAAGTAAATAGCAAAGGATATTCGGAGTTTGACTAGCCAATCAGAGCGCGCCTTCAACGCTATCCACTGTTTTAGTACATACTAATGCGCAATAGTTCACATGGGCTTTGCCATCACGCGATAGGAATCTCGAAGGTCATAATCCAATTTTTGAGATAGAGAGGTTTCGTGAAAGAATAGAATAGATCAGAAAACCAAACAAATTAAGGGATCAATGCTTTAATTATCCCTTTTATTTCAATCCAAAGAAGTGTCAAAACTGGGAGAAAAGCAAGTCGCACATGAGGTATAGACTTGAGTACGGCAAGACTTGCTTTAGTTTACATAAATAAGATGTTTCGAGAAGACAAGCTTGATATGAAACAGAGTTAGAGCTGAAAGAATTCCTTGAACACGAGACCGATAGTTTGCATTTCTCATTGATACTTTTGTTGCAAAAGTGACTCCTATCCGGAAAAATTTTTTATTTGGTTTCTCTTTACGCCAAAGTTTGCAAAGAGACGAAAGACTGATTGAATAAATCGGACCGAAAAACTTCCACTTTGTAACAGCTATTTATCTAAGTTAATTCATTTTAAGTCAATCAGTGAGTGGATATTTGCCGCAATTTCATCAAAAGAAGTGAGTTGAACACTGTGGAGTAACAAAATTATGATTTGGAACCTAATTTTTCTTGTTTTCGAGCAAACTTGAATCTAGGAAGAAAGCTCTTATCTAATGCATGGTCTCAGAAATGTCAGAAAATATTTATCTTAAATTTTGTAGAGAAAATATCAATGTACTTTAAACTTTCCAGTGTTAAACAATAAAAATTAGATGAATCTTGTAACTTCAGTTTTCCTTTTAGTTGTTTTATTTTTCCCAGTTTTTCCGGTACTCTTTACACTCAAACACCCAAAGCATATTCTCCATACTGTTCTTTATACTTTTCCTTAGGTGTTGTATTTGTTGTACTAAATTGGTGATCACTTAGCTTCCTTCATTATCGAGACGTCATGGTTAAGGCGTGATATCGTAAGTAGACGCTAAACACTCTTGCGCGTCAATAGCTTGGGCACAGTAAACGCCAGTAAACGGCAGAAAAGAACTCTCGTTTCGTTTACTTTTCCTCTAATCCTTGCATGAAACAGGCAAGGAACTTGCAAATGATTTCTTGTATATGCATATAATTTCTTTCAAGGTAAAAACGCTTGAAAATAGGCGGGAGATGGTTAGGTTTTTGCTGACTGCAGTTGGGCGTAAACGTCATATGTAATCTCTCTGATAACCTCTCACGGAAAGCATAGATCCCCTCTATCGTCTTCCCATGGTCCCCCACGCTTTGTGCTCGTCACCAGTCTACGGCAGCCGGTAACAGTTTGAGAAGCGCCTTGGGATCAATTTTCGGCCATTCATGACGATGCTTCGCACAGACTGAGAACGATATCAAACAAACAAGTTTCCTTTGCAGTGTAAATAGGAAAAAAGTAACATTCCATTTTCCGGACGGCAAGACTTACCGGGAGAAAGTTTGTAAGAGCTTAATTTGCTATTAAGCAGACCATTCGCAAAGAGATTTAGAGAAGGAGATTCTGAGAGGCTAAGAAGAAATCCCAACTTCTTATGCACATTCCAGCAAATTAATGCATCTAGTAGTTTGATAACAAACGGTTTTCTTTGAAAAACGCATATCAACAAAATGATAACAGTTTAGAACATGTACCGCCACATTCCTAGCATTGCAGATATTGATCAGATTCGAGTAGGCTCCGGTTTGATTTTTTTCTCAGTTGAACAAGAAAAATTTGAAGCCGGCAAATAAACAGAAACTGGTGCATGTGAGAAATCGTGTTTTGTAAGATTATTACACATCTGTTTGGAAGGACGGTGTTTAAACTTCTCGGCACATTCATCTTCGGTAATGTGCGTGCACAGTGACGTTGCTGTTTTCTTTTGTGGAAACAAATGTCGGCCAACTTAGGGTGTTTTCAAAGAATTACCGACGTCAGAGTCAGGAATTGTGAAAAATTGGAGGACTCCACAGAGAAAAAACAAACAAGTTTATGACTTTACCAGGGCGGGTGGTACATTCGGCGTATTCTGGACAGGCAGATATTTAACCAATGTTTCAAATGATTGAGCTCCTATCAACCAAAACAATATATATGTAGTAAAAAAAATTTGCTAAGGACGTAAGATTTCCAAAGATCTGTCATGAGTTGATTTCCTTTGTTTATGTAACAAAGACAAAAACTCCTCAATAGACATAGGAAATGTTTTGGATCTTTTCAATTCTTTCTATGGATTACAAAGTATATTGTGAGCACGGTCCCCTTTCTTTGTCATGGTGAAAAAAATCTTGGCTTAGTTGTATTAAGTGCTGATACCGCTATCCGACGGATAAATCGCTATCCAACTGATAAGTGATAGCAAAACGTACTGTGCTATCCACCGGATTAAGACTTTTCCACTGGATAGCGTTATCCAACTAGCTTCGAACAACCGGGGTCTGACGTTTTACCAATTAATCACGAATGGCTTTATGACTCTTAAGGAAAATACCTCAGTTGATATTGAAAATTACCACAGCACTTACATCAGTTACGTCATGATGAGTGTGTTTTTTATGACGGTTTTTGTTGATTGGCCCAATCCACGGCAACATCACACGAAAAAAAGAAAAAAAAAACAAAACAACAACAACAATAACAAACAAGCCAAATAATGAAAGAAAAAAAATCAAAATATCACAAGAACTTAAGCACGTTTAAAGTGCTCGTTTAGTTTAAAATGCTTCCGCAAAAGAACAAAACTAATGACTTATAACACTTTGCCAGAATAGACACAAAAGTAACCAAAAATGAAAGAAGACGTAGAAGATTAGAATGGATATCAAAAGCCAACATGAAAAGTTGTAGCTAAAAGTTCAGGTTCAATGACTCGACGCGAACGTGACGTCAGGGACCTGCGCTAACGCGCATGTTTTCTACTTAGTCTCTCTGTTTATATATTTCAAAAATGTCTGAGTACACTAGGATGAAAAATATGCGCTGGTATTTCTGTGTGAGTATTACTCGTTCAGATTCCATTAAAATGCCTTAAAAGGAGGACCAAGACTTGAAGTCCATGACATACTTCACAAAGGCTTGGCCCACATAGTCGAAGGGCTATGACAGTTACGTCACGTTATCGACGTGCTATGGTATATGGCTTTCTCTTTCTTAAGTCACATAGTTTGCCCTCTGTGAACCGTGATTGAGGCATACGTCACTGCATGGAAACTTTGAACGAGAGAAACTCCAGCTCCTGTTGAGAGCACGCATCTCTTTTATGGTCCGGTTATCCCTCTTATGTAAGGTTATTTAAATACATGTAAGTCTTTACCAGGTGTTCAAATCTAACACAAAGGAGCGAGAATTAAAAGTGGACCGTTCCAGAATCGTCTAGGAGAGGAACGTAAGAACTGTCATCCTTTGTTTATTAAGGGATTTATTTCTGTGATTCTTATCGCATACTTTAAACTGTTCTTCACACTTCACCTTTTACCATCAACTTTAGTTCCCGGTTCGCTGACGCAAATATAATACACGCACATAAAACTAGGTATGCGAAAAAAAACCTGTTTTATCAGATCCCGAGAATCAGGAATAATTCATGAATTTTTTTGTATCAGATCCAAAAGATCCAAAGCTAGGAAACCAATAGATCGAAACTTAGAAACACTTTTATTTCTCACTTTTAAAGTCGACTCTGAATTTTCTTCGGCAGCGAGTACTTATGTTTTCGTTTACTCTTCAATCCCTGCTTAAAAAAGTCCTGACGTTTGAGCATTGAGTGGCTTTACCGCTTAAGCCTACAAGGAAGTTTTCGTGTTTGTGCTTTGTTTACTGGATTTACTCTCGCATTGCGTGGTCGAATTGAACGATGAATCGGATGAAAGTTCGAACAAACCGGTATTCGGAGATTCCTACCGACTCTTTGGCTTTTTGTGGGTGTCTGTTCTTTACATTTAATAATTTAATCCATAACAGAAATAAAGGTTTGTCTGTCGCCTATCTGTCTGTCTGTCAGTCTTTTGTAAACTTCCCTATTTGCAGTTGCTAGTTGAGTGTCCTTAGTATTTTCCCTTTGTGTAAGAAAGAGACTCGAACCTACTAAACGCCAACAATTTTTTTTGATGAAAATGTTTTCCTTTCTGCTCTTTAATATCCTGTTCAAAGTAATAATATTGATTGTTAGGTGCACCGGTCACGTTCACGAAATGCAACCCAAAACGTGCGTTATATAATTATCGTGTCATACTCGACGTGTCTTCAGATGATGCGTCATAAATTTATAGACATTGTTCGTAAATGTTATGCAGATATTTTACCATACGGAAATATAATTTCATAGGATGCAACGAACAAGGTTCCTGAGCTGATAGAAATAAGCTGGCTAGTTCGTACTGTATTGATATTATGCAGTTGTAAGTTTTGGAAGTTGTATGGGGGATCAGTATTAAAGGGTCTGAAGACAGAATACAGTCACTCGTGAAAATAGGCAGAAAAAGGAGTTCGGAAGAGAGGGCGGTTTGGAGGAAATAGCGCGCTGGCAGAGCAATGCGTAATTTGAACCACGAATGACTACCTACGGAAATCATAACGTTGTTTTTCTCGTTGAGTTTTTGTAACAGCAACGGTAGTTGGTCTGTTGAATTTTTGGAATTATAACTTGGTCTTATATGTTAAAGGTTTTAGCGAAGGAAATTTATTACTTTTCGAGCAAAGCCCACAGAAACCTACACGGAAATACGGTGGTGCGCGCAGCCATTCATAGATCGCAGGCTGTAGCCAATCTCGGGGGATTAACAATTGTCTAGGATTGTTGCGACCAATCACAAAGCAGGAGACCTTGCGTATATTATTTTTGGGCATACCTTCGTTAATAACTGCTCGAGAGCGAACGATTGTGCTATCTCTAAAACATTTCCGGGGCTGCCAATATCTGTTCAGTCTTCAGAGAGAGTAAACAAACCTTAGCCTTTATGAAATAAATCGGTTGCTATTAACAAGCAGGGCATTCGAGAGTGATTGATTTTACGAGATACGCGTTTTGGTCGTAATGTGAAGAACGAGATTTCGAAACGTAGCGATTGACCAAACAGAGAACAACCAGTGGCGATGAATTCAGAAGGGTGTTTTTGTGTTTTTCTCATCTTCTCCATGAGCTTTAATTGTATTCTTGGGAGTGCAACTTACAAGTCCATCATTTGGGATCCTGAAAATCCACTGTAAGTGAAACTCTTGTGTTGCATGTTTCGTGTCTAACTCTTTGCTTTCGTTAGTTACTGAGTTCAAGAAATTTTGATTCTTTTAGTCTTTCTGATATTCTAAACCGGTAGTAGATTGCGAAACTTAAAGCCAACATTAAAGTTAGTTTCCCATAGCTACTCATTTGTTTTAAGACGTTAAGCTTTCAATGCGCAAGACTAACAATTTCTTGTGGTGTGCGGAAGGATAAATAGAATTGAAGCGTAACTCGGAGTAGATGCTTATTTTGCCTTTGTGTACTACAAGAAGATGTTGGAGGCTTCCGTCTTATATAAGTCTCGAGCGATCACATTACAGGAACATCTTCTACTTTTTATGTAGCCTGACTGCAGCTTTCTAGTTCTCGGTATGAAACGAGTAATTGCAATTATCTTTTCGCTATCATACCGAAACTTCCAGGTTGTCAAATCAAGCGACCTTTGGTAAAATGCTCTCATTGTATCTTGTGATATTACTTCAAGTCGGAAACCTCTTTCTTTTCTAGCGCAGTGCCCGATACTGTGAAACAGAGTTATAATAATTTACACTTCACAACAGGACTGCCGAAATAAAGACCTACCCATATTCTCCTTGGCAGATAAATGCGACGAATTGATTATATCAACATCCTTGACAAGTAAAGGCAGGTAGATCATTCGAGCCAAGGAAACATGTTTTGATTTACATTTTACCTAAACTTACTGCGAAACAGGGTCTAAGTAAATAATCCAGAGTTGCATCAGTCGTGAGCATTCCTAAAACCTCCATCATTATGTTTTTTAACATACACCCAAATATGTAAACATGAACTTTACCTGTAATTAGATTGAAATAGTCTCTTGAGTTAAAATCAGACTTGATGAATATTCGTGCAGATCGGCTAAGAGGAGTGAATCCTTGCGAGAAAAAAAGGAAGACAGCTATTTGAATGGTAGAAATTGACAGATTGAACTCAAAAGTTTTGATTGTTTCAAATGTTGGGGTTTTGTCCCATAAATTATAGTCACTGAGTTTAGAAGAACATAGTTTCTTGAGACATAAAGATTGCGTGTTCATTACATAACAGAATTACTGTCTCCAAGCCTGCAAATCATGAGCTTCGTTTTACAGTTTGCGCAATCTAATTCCTCTGATTTCCCTCCCTATTAATTTTCCTTGTAATCATGATGGTAATTAGTAAAGCTGCTGGTAATGTTAGTAAACACTTGTCAGTGAATCGTGAAGTTCATTGAGCTTTGGGTTAAATGTGTCATATTAATATATACATGTATGTTTATTTTGTGAAAGTTCTAATGTGCTAGTGCAGTAGATGGGAAAGAAAAAGAATTTCTCATAAAATACACTTATTCAGGAGTAGACTCTAATGCAATCTACACTGATTTTATGTTTTGTGTTTTTAACTGTGAGGTTCAAATTTTTGCATCACAAGCAAGAGCCCCAACCCAGTGTAAAGTTTTTGATGATGTAAGAAGTGTAAAGTTTTCCTTTCCTCTCTTTGATGTCATACCTAAAGTAATAATGATTCTTATTATCCGACTGCACAATATAGAGTACAAATAAGGCGTAAATCAAGTAAAAATATCATATAATGTTTGTACCCCAGAGAACTGAAAATAAATAATATCTGCAAAATTTGCCCACAGTGAAAAAACAATTTGGCCTGATGGATAATAAATCTCTTGTTAAACATTTTGTTGTGTAGTATCTCTGAGTATTTTTACTTCTTGTTGTATTTTGACTGGCCCTACAGGCTTGTCAAAATACAGCACAACTTGTAAAAATAATACTCATGAAGTGATACTACATGAAAAAAGGTTTAATAAGATAATATTTATACCACCTTGGTCATGTTCAGGAAATGCAACCTAAAACATAATTTAATCATCTGGGAGATACTGTAGGTCATAAGAGAATGTGCTACTTAAATACATGGTTATAATTAACAATTATTCCACGAGCGCACATTGGATATAAGATGATAGATAGCCAGCGAGGCGCGTAGCGCCAAGTTGGCTATAATCATCTCATATCCAACAAGAGTGAGTGGAATAATTGTTCTATTAAAAAAAAATGCCTTGAAGATATTAGACAAATTTTCTCGACTTTATTTTGCAAGAAGAAACCGAATGTTACAATGTACAGATATTAGATTATGGTATCTTGGCTCATATACCATAATGGCTAAGCCAATAAAAAGTCTTGAATTGGATTACCCAATGTTCCAGTTTTTAATAATAAGCATTATAACCACTATGATGAGCGATAACCACTTTTATAATCATCATGATTGTTATTATCGTAAGAAGAAGAAACCAGAAATCAAGGTGAGGTGTTCTCTTGCTACAAGACAGTGCTGATTGCATGCTGCTTGTCAAGGAAATGCAGAAAGGAATGCTGCACCTGGATAAACAAGCTTTTTGAGGGCTGAAGGGTAACAACTAGCTGTAGCTTCTTCAAAACTTCTGGAGGAGAGGCTAATATTGTGACGACATGAGTACGCATGGTTATTGCCTAGACTCTTTAGAGGATAACAATTTATTATGTCTGACTCTGCTCACGGAACAACTAAATTTACATTCTGTTTGCTTTTTTCACAACAGGTTTAAAAGTGACTGCCCCTCCGGAAAGCCCAAGCTTGTCAATGTGAAATCGCAATCAAAAATCAACTTTGTGTGTCCAAATGTAGCCACTCTCATGGACTCGACTTTGGGAGAAGTAACAAAAACTAACAAGTATGAGAACCTTTGGCTAGTGCACACCACTGATGCCTTCAACAATTGCAGTGTTACATTGGATCCAAAGCATTCCATCCTCATGCGCTGCGAAGACCCCACATCACTTCAGTTTCGCACCATCATATTCCAACCGCATTCAGCTGAAAATCACCTTAAATTTGAAAAAGGAAAATCATATTTCTTTATCTGTAAGTGTTGACATATTAACTAACATCCTTCTTTTGAATGTTAAACCTTTACGGAAATTCTCCAGTTTGTAGGGGTTTGTGTTTGTGTCACTGTTTATAGGGGTGGGGGAGGGTTTGAATTCATTTTTCAAGTTTAAAACAAGTCCTTGGTGATTATCAGTGTTATCAGTAGGAGTTGCGGAGTTCTAGTAGTTGGTACACTGACTGTACCCTGGGTCTTGAGGTTTGGATTTGAGATCTTGCCATGTCATTGTCTTGCATGCTTGGGTAAAACACTGGACTCTCACCTTTCACAGTGGGAAGCCTGCTGAAATGCAGGGGGGGAGGGGTGGGGCAACCTTGCAATGGACTGATGTCCCATCCAGGGGGGGCAGTAATACTCCTGTAGATATTTGCGTCTCACCATGAAATCTGTGATTATCAAGTCTATGATCTGTTGTTGCATTGATAATAGGCCTTACTATCCAAGTTTTAAACAGTTTGCGAGAAACAGTTATAGTTACACTTATAGTTCATTAAAATAGAGGCTGATTCTTGGCAATTTAGTAGTTTAAACATAGAAATAAACAAATAAACGAAAGGGCTGTTTTCAACCCACCTTGCAATTCTTTTCTTGCTGAATTGCAAAGTTAAACTTATTTTGAAAACAACTTTTGCATATAATGTTATCTCTTAAATTGCAAAACACCTGAGAAACTTACTGGCACCTACTATTGATTGATAAATATGGTCATCAGTCACTTATTGGACAGCTTCCTATTTTTTGTGAAAAATGTTTTGAAATGTGTATGCTCCATCAACATGGACTGATTTTTCATACAACACTTCAAATTTTATGCAGAAATTCAACTCAGCAAAAATTTCTACATGGTTGGCGGTGCCAGTGATCAGTTGATAAGCACAATTTTCTTTTAATTAATCTTTTTTAACATGAGCTACATGCATATGCCATCTCAGTTGAACATATATCAACTGATATACAGATACGTGAACCCTCGATCAGCATTATTTTTTTAGTTGATGTTCTGTCTGAGGTATTTCGCAAATTGTTTGGTTGGCTTAACAACTGACAGCTGTAGTATAAATTGTTTTTCAATTTATGTAAAACCTCGTACTGAGAGATTATTGCTCCCGATGTATCTGTCTCTCCTATACATAATGCAAAAACATTTTCTGAGAAAGAATTTCATATTCAAAATATCTGTGTTTTTGCCATTTTCAAAATCCAGCCAATTACAGACTTTGAGGAAGTTGTGTATTCAAGCAAGAACAACTCCCACATCGAAAATTATTGTATGAATAATTTGTTTCACTTCCTTGTTTTGGAGAATTGTTTTTTTTTTTTTGGAATTTGAATCACAGAAAACTGGAGTCTGAAAGGTTTTGCTATTTTAAAATGATTTTGATCTATGTACTATCTTTGCCTTGTGCAGCTCTCATAATTTGTGTTTATTTTCACAAACAGTTGGAAATGTCAACTAAAATAGCTTTCTAATGCACCTGTCAGCTATGGCATTAAATGAATAACAATTTGCATATCTGCTAGTCATAACACCCCATGCATTTCCTAACTTGGTATTTAATTTACAAACTTCACACTGGTGTCTTTCAATAGAGGCTTTGTTTAAATAATCACATCTCAAAAGAGGATTTTGGAAACTTCTCATTAGTCATCTAAAACCTTGAATTGTAAAGGAAGGGTATGAAAGCTATTGTTAAAAATGCAGCAGATGTTGATAAGAGGCCCTCTTTGTGAACCTTGCTGTGGCAGCAGACTTCCCAAAACCCAAATACCAAAAAGAGAAGAAAACAGATGCGATAAATGAATGAACACATGTAGATAAACAACAATAATTAACCCAAAACACAAAAGTAAAAAAGAATAAAAGATATATCACTATCATGGTAAGCACAAACAGCTTTGTAGTATGTCCTTGGAATGGGAGACCAATTAAGGCCCCATTGGGCCTTTAGAGTATGCACCTGTGCCAAATCCAGAGACCACCCTGCTCCAATGAACAAATAGATTTCCATGTTGTGGTGCATCTGCACAGTTACAAACCATAGATGAGGAAAAATTTGATAAGAGCTAGAATGTGATAAGAACTAGAATGTGACAAGAGCTAGAATGTGATAGGAGCTAGAATTAGAATGTGGCACACCAGGTGCAGGTGAAAGCATTGCTGATGTTCTTTCAGCATTTTGGTGTTACACATGATCTGTTTTTGAACAGATCCATGGTGATGTCATCCATGCATCTGTCCCCCACCAATCAAAATGGAGGTGACTAACTCAGCTAATGAAATGAACTCCCACACTTTCAGATCTTGGCTTAATATATTGGATTAATAATATATAGATTATTATTATTATTGTGGTCTATTATTAGAATGGTCCTTATTACATTGACGACTTCTTTAAACTTGGTGCAGTCAATTATCATCTTAGAGGCTCAAGCACTAAGCTTGAGCAAAATTCTTTCAATAGTAAATGGCACCTTAATTCCTTTACATCCACAGCCAGCCACTTTTGAAATACTTTACTATGCAATACTAGAATTGCTGTTAATGTGAATACTTTTAGAAGTAAACAAATTAAACCTTGTACAGTAACTGTTTATTTATCGCTAAGCACCATAATAAGAATTTGTCATTGTGTCCTGCGCATGATTATTCATAGTCTTTTATACTGATGTAATTTTTGTTATTTTCAGTATTTTGTAATTGCATGTGCGCATTGTAAACAAGTATGCTACATTTTCTTAGGAATTATGTGGATTAATAAACTTGTCCTTCTTACCTTCTTACCCTATCTTATCATAATGTGAAGGGGGTAGAAAGGTCCCAGTGTCAGATTTACAGTATGATGTATTTTCACTCTGACTTTTTACCAACAGCAACATGCAAAGGAACGTTGTCCTCAGTGAACCACACAGATGGAGGACACTGTGGTGGAACACAAAATGGTGGCTTCTTGAAAATTGAAATGCATGTTTGTGGTGATGAAGGTAAAATGATTAAGATTTATTTTTTTTGTATTTGTATTTGTTGAATGTTTTACTCAAATGTACTTGAGGATGAAAGGCAGATGGGGGGGTGAGTCAAGACTTAAGCTACACTGTAAAGGTAAAGGTGCTTTATCATAGCAGCCACGAATGGTCTCCAACCATGACTAAAATCTCAGTCTTACACCAAGCCATGAGGAACTCCTGTGGAATGAACCACTGGTGATGAACTGAAAAATTGACAAGTGGTACAGTCTCTTTCTGGTTAAACCTTCTTGCTCTCAGCATTAATCATTTGATATATTGTTGTGCTTATCTATTACCTCCCTTGAGTGACCAAGCCAGAATTTCTCCTTACAATATCAGTACAATATCAAGCAGACAAGCAATAAGAATAAAGTAATATAATCAATTTGCTATTTGTGTCATAAGAATTGTTTGGCAGACAGGAAGGAGAATTTATTTTCTAATAGTGGGAGTGAAAGATCTTGTTGTGAGAGCTACTATTTGCAAAAACAGGAAATTGTTCATTTGGGGACATTTTTATGAAATGACTTTCATTTCTCACAAATGGTCAACAAAGAAGAGCGTAATTATAATTATTTGTATTACCACTGTCATCTAAGAGAAGTAACTTTTAGATCATGGAAGTGAAGGGGGTTAACATTCCTGGTTACCCTCTGGTTTGATTTGTCTACAGAGGTCTAGCTTATTGTGGCATGTTCAAGAAGTAGACATTAATTTTTATGGAAAATTGTAATTTAAGCATGTTGAAAGTTTGAACCCAAATTCAGTGTTAGTCATTTGTATTGCACATGGTTACATCTATTTCTAACCTCCTCCTGGTTCCTTTCCAATGTATTTTTATCCAACGACTTTTCTACACTTGTCTGGCAGACTACAGTGCTATTGTAGGGTTTCCTTTGAGATGTTGTTCCCCCAATGAAAATCCTTGACTTGTGATATTAATTTGTGCTTCGCATTACATCAATATGGAGAATCAAGGAACGCTTTTAAAGACCAAATTGGGCAAAAATAATAATATTTAGATTTAATTGAATTCCTTGACTAAAATTTTTTCTTTATTGCAATCAGTTTCTTTAATTAATGAGCTTTCTTGATTAAAAACAACTGAACATTTTGTGATTGATATTGGATTTGTTAACTTTTCCACATATCTGTTTTTGATAATATATATTGCCAACAGCAATCCCTACATAATAATAGCAATCAATTCAATACCAAGTGAAGTGGTTCAAATTGGTCATCAGTTAGACAATACCAATCCGTATCGAGATATTAGATTAAATTTATTTTATTATATGACTGTTTAAGTGTGCATTCATTTGATCAAGGTGATAACTTGATTTCATTACTGATGATTAATGGAGCCAGAAAGTTAAATCTGTCTTAAAAACAGAAAAATGATTTTCATTGGTGCATCTTTAAATAAGGTTTTTTGGTCATTTGCACAGTAGAGAATCAAACACCTGAAAAATTGCTAAGAACAAGAAGCAACACATTATATCTCACCAATATCAGAAAAGCTTCTAAAGGTGCAGAGGCCTACAGTTTGTTTGTCACTGTGCAAGGGCAGTGAAACCCCAACACCCCTTATTCCCATATGAATTGAAATATGGGATATGTCATGGATAGTCACATTGTGTGGAAATAGTAGGGCAACACATTCCAGCCCATGTGGAAGGATTGCAATATCTGATAACTGTTCTGAGATTCCATTTTGCATGTAGTTTATTTGTTGTTGTTATTGTTGAATGATTATGCAAGTAAAAGTAGTCTTGGAAATTTCTGAAGTGGATTTACCTTTTGACAACCTGGATGGTAGTCATTGCAAGTCATCAGCATCATGACTCTGATCTTTGCTTCTTAAATTGTGGAAACTGGGATGAATTTTTTGAAGACTACTTTTCACTAGACAATTACACTAAGACAATCAACATTTATGCCTAGGTTCAAATCAGGCTGTTTAATTATTGTGATCTAAATGACAGTTAATCTTTTTCTTGCAAAATCACTAGTTGGACCTACACATTACTTCCTATAGTGTAATAAGTGACAATCTGAATATGAAAGCAATCCTTGTAGTATATGATTTTCATATTATTCTCATTCATTGAAGTTACAATCTGTTTGGTCCTTAGATTCAGCTTGCCTTGCAAATATTGGCAAGCCACATTGCCGGAAAGAGCCTTTACCCTCATCTTCTGCAGCTCTAGAACCTTCATCAACTCTAAAACCCTCTTCAACTCTAAAACCCTCTTCAACTGTTGGAAAGGAGATAGTGCCCACTGCACTTGATATACATCCTGTAACTTCATATCTGCCCACCACTGTTCCTTGCACTGCGAATACAAAATGCACTGCAACAGTAACACAAATTGCTACGGTTTCATTATGCACTCCGTCTCCCACCAACGGGACTGGTGAAGGTGGACGTGTTGAAAAAGTGGCAAATCAGAAAGGGGCTCAACATTCTGAAAGTGAAAGTGCGGAAGAGTGCAGTAAGTGCAGATTATATAATTATTTAGATTATGTACATGCTGTTGTGGGATACCAGGGAAATCACAAGGGTATTGATTTATGGACATTAAAGCATTCTTTTTCTTTTCTTACAGACGAATGGAAGATTGGTGTTGCAGTTGTAATTGTTTTATTGATTATTGCTGTTGTTTGCTTTATCGTGTATCAGTTTTGTTGGTAGGTATTTGGATTGAATTACAAATGAAATGGACCTCACCTGTAAATTTTAGTGTTGCACAATAATTAGTAAACATTATTTTGTTTGGATACAAATACTCTGAGTCTCCTTAGCCCCATTTTTAGTGAAAATATTTTTAACTACACAATTGTTTCTGAGCTACATGTACATCTACATGTGTAGGAGAGCTTGTTGACATTGAAGGAAGGGGTTGGTCAGATTCAAATGATCAGACCTGGTATTTGCTAAAAAGGTTGGATCTATTTCAGTTTCTGAGCAAGTTCTTGTAGCTCTACATGTATTATCACTTTGTCAGGCATTGTGGGGAATTTTTCAGGCTACAAAGGAAAATTTGGCAGGCTAAAATGTATTTTAGCTGCTCCCACATTCAGGTGATTGTTCAGGCTGTTTTGATGATAATTTTCCAGTGTGAAATTCATTAATGCCCTTCAAAGTGATAATGATAAATGCTAACAGTGGCATTTTAAACTATATTTTGAGCCCTTCTCAGAGTTATTCTTTCCTGAGTTGGGCCTGAAACACATACACAGTGTATTCTTGCAAACATAAACTCTGGCCATTGTTTTCTTACTATAATTTACATTCAAATTAAATTTGATTGACTTTGCCTCACTTTTTACAAGTTATTAGTAATCTTGTCATTTTCTCAGCCTCTTAAATCCTTCTTTAAATCCTGTGCAGGAAAAAAAAGAAAATGAAGTGTCCACAGTATGAAGTGAAAGTGGAACCTAGCTATGGTTTGGCAAATGATGGTTTTAAGAGTGAGACTGACGCCGACTCACTTAAAAGAGGTCTTTCTCCACTGGACATGAATGAAAAGGGTAGCCTTGAGATAAAAAATGGAGGCAAAGATGTGTATTTTCACAATGGACAAGCAGATATGAAGAAAACGCCCCACGTGTAGGTGATCACAGTTCAATATCCAGGTCAATCCCTCAAACTGTCAAGTCTTAGTTTTGATTGAAAATTCTGAAAAGAAATTACATGTTAATCAATTCAGGGAATTGAACGATCAGTGATCCTTGTCAGAATTTTATAACCTTTCTCATCCAAGAAATCTCCTATTTCGAATGTTGCTTTTGACATATCCCAAGTATAAAGAATGATGGAGCTGTTTTTGCTTTTCTTTAATTTTTTTGCTTGCAAAACATTGGATAGTAGTTGCTTGGTTTGGATTGCGATAAATACATGTACGTCTCTCCTCTTTCCAACTTTAGAGGCACTACTATTATTTTTATTGCACTACTATTATTTTTATTAACACGTATTACAGTTGTAGGTGATTAAGAAAATTTGGTTCTGTCCTCGTGTACCGGTTCACAAGAGCCGATACAAAAGACCCAACAATAAACAACAGCTAACCAATGACTCCTAAACAAAGAAAGAACAATGGTAATTCCCTTGTGAACCGGTACACCAGGACAGAACCGAAAATTTTAACAATCCATTGTTTGCTATTTGTTATTGCTTAGTGATTGCTTCTTTTCTTGGAATTGTAAATAGCTTTCATTTATAATATGAAATGATGTTTTATCAGTATTATTGGCTTATCAATAGCTTTTATGTTATGTGATAATCAGTTTACAAGCTTATACACCAAATGCAAATATGGCGTCCAGTTTGAGTTGCCATTGTTCTGGACTCACTAGCCTCTCACACACGTAATAATCCTTTTGTGTTTCCACGCGAAGACGAGGCTAGGTAGTCAGAACAATGGCAACTAAAATTGGACGCCATATTTGCATTCGGTATATAAAGTGATTGTATGTAGTTTTTGAACAAGGATGTTTTGCAGGTTGGCGAAGCAAAAAAAAAATTGCAAAGTAGAGAATTCTCGCAGATATAAAAATTTACATTCTAAAAAACTTTTTGTTACTTGAAATTAAAAAAGTTAGAATGGGCGAAGAGATGTGAATTATGAGAAGGGTTTTTTTGTGGAAAAGATTTATGTGGACTAGTAATTCATACATAGCGGAGAGTTTTGTAGAATCGTCCATTTAGCCTTAACAGTGGTTTTCAGCACATTCCTAATCGTATGAAATAAGTTATCCTCTGTAGATTAATTTAGAAGTCAGCATCAAAGATACTTACAAAATAAATAAATAGCTTCTTATCACTAAAACTTTCTTGAATATTCTTTTGAATTAACAGGGAAGATTGAAAAATCTAATGAAGCGCACCTCGAGTTTATTACTTCCAAACAATGCACCGGCATCGCAGAGGCCATGGGCTGAATTTTTTTCAGGTCTTAAATTTCACTATTGCTTAAATAGTGTTCCTCACTGAGGATCGTTCTCATATGCGCTTCTTTAACCGCAGTTCAAATATATGATTTTCATATATTCTTAGCATACCAAACAATTGTTTGCCTCGCTTACGCAAAAGATAATTGTCTTTGACACGATGCAACCCACAGTATTGGCAACCTCTTGAGCTGAATTAAACTAAGACAAACTATCGTACCATCGAAGAGGAGACGCACTTCTCAAAGCTGTGAGAAAAGGGATAAGTTTCGCAAGGGTGGCCGCAGTGTTTATGTGTAGATTTTGCCCTTTAACGCGAACCGAGCCAGTTAAGTCTGTACCGGGATGACAGAGTTTCTTAAGCGTACAGGCGTTAATAACGTGTAACCCGTTGCAGTATAGCTCCTGGCAATACTTCAAGATGGGCGACAGCTCACTCAAAAGAGGCACCCTCGTTAAATCTGAGTCCTACTCTTGATAACACCCTCTCTCTCAGACCTTTCAAGGAGAGCGAACAAGCGAAGTAAGAGAGAACACTGGAGGAGTGAGACAGAGGCTTGCGCGCAGACAAGCTTGGAGAGAATCGAAGGGGACTGTTCACTCGCACGCAAAGCTTCAATTCATCATCCACGCCGCTTTAAGTGCTAGCCTATTCCAGTAAAACGGGGCATGATGGTTATGACCGAGGGGAAAAGTTGAATGGCAGGAGGCTTGGGTCGGGTCATCAACCTTGTTCCCACGGCCTTTTCCCTTAGTTGGTGGTGGGGCGGGAATCAAGGGGTGACAAATGTTTTCATCACAAACTGATCGCTTTTTCAAATTTTCTGTTCCATGTTTCATTTATCGAAAATGTGTAAAATCAAAATTCAAACACTGGCTCTGTCAAGGAAGTTTTGAAACTCTCTATTTCAAATTGATGGTATTCTATCATTTCCAAACAAGGATAATGATTACAAGTTTAGACCAATAATAATCTGACGCAAAGTGCTACATTATTGTCGCAGTAAGCTAATTTTGTAGATGTAATTTAAGAAGGTTAGGTCGACGGAAGAATTACTTTTGGGCCGAAGGGATTCGATTTGATTTCACGTCGACCTCTTCTGAGACCTTCATTGGTTCCAGAAATGTATCTTTCTGTAAAACGTTTACACCTTCTGTTGATTTCAATTGTTTACCCTGCTCATTTTCAAGATACGTAGCATGCGTGTTTTTTTTTATTTATTTATTTTTTATTTTTCGGTGCTGATAAAGTTTATAAACCTAGATGAGGGTAATTTGATTTCAAATAAAGGTTTTTGCAGCAAAGAGGAGTATATTTCCTCTATTTTTTTTTTCGGTCAGCTTTTAATCAGGCTCTTCGCTTATTAGATATATCATTGGAAATTACTTTATTGTTGATTAGAGTTATCAGTTCATCTAAACTAGTTCAATCCTGATCAAGTTCCTCTTACTTAACACGTAGTCAATATTAATCCTTCCAGACGTTTTTTCTTTCATCACATGCATTCAGAACTGAAAACAAAAAAAAAAAGTTGGTGAAAAAGAATTTTCACCGATGACTTCTCTACTACGATGCTATTTGAAAAGATTCGAGATCACTTGATGAAGAAAATCAAATTAAAAACCTGATTAGGATAAACAAGTAAAGAAATGAACCTACGAGAATTTGCTCCACAAAAAACGCAAAGTGTTCGGAAGCGAAGCGGGAAACCAATCAAACACTCTAATTCCAACACGGTAAACTGTAGACTCACGGTAAACGACAACGACCATTAAACAAACTGCTACTCGATAAACTAAAAGCTTTTCAACTCCCTCTAAAAAATCTCACACGTCAAAATTAAAAGGTCCGCGTGATTTGCTTACGATATTATTAGCCTGCGTAGTCCCAAAGCACGCGCAAAAGAGTCGCACGCGCACAAGTTCTTTAACGTCTTCTTAACACAAAGCTTCTGAGGCACGGTTCGAAACCCATGGAATTCTGAATTATTTCAGATTTCTTTCCAGCAATTCTCGCTCTCCTGCAAGGATTATTTCTTTCCTTTTATATTATACGTAGGTTCAAATACCATCTATTTTTCTTAATTGCGATCATATTCCTGTACGAGTAGGATTGAAGAACTTCATGATCAAACATTCGCCTTGCTCCCAACAAGTGACTTCTCAAATCGGTTGGTAGTTTCACCCAAGTGGCATCCAGGGGGCACGGATGCGAGCCCTTTTGATTGAGTTATTTCATTCAATCATGATTGTAAATACTGAAAAATGAAACAGGTTTCAATTTTCTAAAGTAAACTACGATTAGCTAGAGAATAACGAAAGCTCGACAATTCATGTCCTTTGAAAGTATTCATAATTATTTGGCTCACAGTTTTCAGTTTCGAAATATGTAATATTGTGTATCGACGTTAAATTAATCGTTAAAAAAGGCCTTAATTTTCGACGAAAGATCTTTCAAAAGACAAAATGACACAAAAAATTATAGTTGGTCTTTTATTCTACGAAATTAAATTAGAACTAAGTCCTCCTGCAACAGCTTAGAATATCTCCAACACTCGAATGCCTTTAAATTCATTCACGGCGTTGTTTTCAGATTTATTCGGCTTTACTGTTAAAGCACAGATCTAAGTCCTTGCCTGCAGGACATAAGTTAAAATTCTCGTAAATGTTTGCCTTGCGACAATCGACGCCAATTTCTTGGAAACGCTGCAGGCCTTTTGAACTTCGTTACCGATTAAATATAATAGAGAATATCATTTTACAGTGAAACACCAGAGAATCGATTTGGTGTTCTCTCTCTGCAGGTAATAAACTGATAATGGACGTGTTGTGTAATCAGTAGCGTTCGTACTGTTGAAAATGATACAGTGGAATCCCGATTTTTCAAACCCTCGGTTGCTCGAACCTCCCGATATCTCAAACCAAACCTTATTTCCCTTGGATTTGCTTCACTTGTAATTTCACTCCCGATTTCTCGAACCAATTTTCGTTTCCCCTGGAGGTTCGAGAAATCGGGATTCCACTGTACTTGAGTTTGGCTTTCTCTTTCCCTTCCCCGTTGAGATGAAACAAAATAAAGAGCTAGTTTTCACAAAATTTTATATTTGACTAAGAGATAATAAACTGTTTTTATCTCTTGACTCGACTCAACTAGCTTTCGCCGAAAAGTATTCGAAAATATCGCGCAACTGACTTAACATTTTTTGTAGGGGAGTGGAAAGAACAGAAGTTCATAACACAATTTTGTCTCAACCGGTCTTCAGTCTCAAACTACTTCATTTGTGGCTGTCTCCTTTTTTCTTCATCTCTGGACATTGGACTTCTTGGAAGCTTGTGACCGGATCATCTTTTAAGAGGGAACATTTATCAGGAAACGAATCCCATTAATGTTTTTGTTTGGTTTTTTTTTTTTTTTTTTTTTTTAGTTAACAAAGTGCTCTTTTTTATTGATAGATGCTGAAAGACGCATTGGGAGGTTTAGTTCTATGAAGTGTGTTTTGTCAATATTCCATCATGTTAGACAATTTATCAAGGAAGTTCACCTTATCCCTGAGGAAATTAAACTGATTTTCTCAAATGGCAGCTTCAAATTGCGGGAAGACATCCCTTTCCGGAATGAAATCCGGGCGAGAAAACCTTTTCGCGTTATTACTTGACCTCCTATTGGTGCTTATGGATGGAAACGGAAATAAAGTATCTCAAATCTAGACTAACACAATTAAAGTGTTGTTCAAAAAGCTCAGAAAAATTCAGTTATTCGGTGTAATAGATTAGTAAGCTTGCTGTTCAAGTTTCTCTCTAGAATACTTTTAAAAATATTTATAGTCCTGGTTTTCCATGACGTACGATAAGTTATGATTTTATTTGTGACTTTGTAAGCGTTAAATTTGATCTTCTAAGGAAAACTGAATAAGAAAATAAGAATATACTTGGGTAAAACTGAGTTTCAGAGAAGAAGATGGTTAGGAAGAAGTTTCGCCAAAATATGATTTTAAAATAATTTGTTATTTGCAGGTGTTTCAAGTTACCCGAACTTAGTTCAAAACGAAAGACAACATGGACATGGACTGAGGACACGAAAAGGCTTTGAAAGATACCTAGTGATCTGCTAATTGCTTATGACGTTGAGCTTTCACGTTTTATTTTGGTTTTACTCACTTTTTTGTGTATTTTTTTTTTTTTATTTGTTTATTTTTTTGCGAATTAGGTTTTGGATTTTTTTTCTGGAAGATCCTGAAAAGCAAATTAAAGAGGGTGAACAAAGTGGCCTTCACCGATCAACTACCGGTGGTTCTGAGCTGTGATTGGTCAATCGGATGATAATAGTCGGATTACCCGCAAATCTTCAACGAATCGATTGTGCACTCCATCATAGAACGGTGCTGAATCTTGAACGATCAGAAAGGACGGAAACTATGGCCGCAAGGCTTCTTTTCTGGCTTTCTCTGTGCGGATTTACAGCATCAAATCCTCGTGCAGATTTCTTGGACAGGCTGAACATCACGGCACGAAAATCGACAGCGTACGATGAGCTGTTTGCAGACGGTCATCGCGCGTATCGCGATGAAAAGTGGAGTGAAGCCATCGAGCTCTTTGAGAAGGCAATCGCTGATTATAGAAACGAAAAACAAGTCAAGATTCATTGTAGATTGCGTTGCCGCGAGAGATTCCAAGCATCATCGTCTCATAATACAATCAGCGACTTCGAGCTGAATTATTATCGTTACACGATTTATTCTCAGAAGTGTAGTCAGCAGTGCCGAGAAAAATATCTCGGTAAGCGAACCAAAGTCTCAGTCACGGTTCGGGACAGCTTCGAGAAAAGGCTTCCATATGGCTATCTTCAATTTGCCTACTACAAGGTGAGTGAATCTGCCTTTATTCGAACGATTTACCTACTCTTTCAATCCAACCTGACTTTTTATTGAACCTTTGTTCGTCAACTTCATATAAATAAATATAAATGCCTGCTCTGTTCTTAGCTTTGTGACCCACGTGTTTGCAGACAAAATCCCCTGGTATTAGTGACATCTTTCTTATTTTCAGTGAAAAAATAAATTTCTATTGAGCTTTGTTAATTGGAAGTTTATGCCAGCTACAATTATTTCAGATCGCGATGAGAAAAATTTCCAACTAATTGATCGTTCGTGACATCTAAGCTTTGATAACACAACAGTTGTTTGTTCGCGTCCATGTCGGGCTTTTGTGTTATTTGAAAGAAAAGTGGTAAACGCATTGTACTGAATCATTCAAGTGATCGTTTATCAACAGGAAACTGCTTAATACTTCTTTGAATTAATGTATTGTGATAAGATGGCCCTTCTTATGCATGTAAATTCACGTGTAAAATGTAAACGTGCGTAATATTGTTGATCGCGCATTGACCCTTAAAAAAGTGGTGGGAGAGCTGGTGAATGACATTTTCTCTGGGCTTCTTTATTTATTTATTTTTTTCATGAGGAACAACGCAGATTTCAAATAGCTGCTCATTCACATGTCTTTCGTATTTGCTGGATTTGGTTCGTGAGTTCTGAAGATTTTTAAGGGATAAGTTGTCACGATGCAGCGGTAAATACTTTATACAGGGTAAAGAATGTCACAAACCGCGGAAAATTATTGAAAATAAGATACATTTATGATGTGAGGAAAATAATCGACATTTTAATAACGGTAATCACATTTTACATCCAGTGGTGTATGGGTGAATTTGGATACACTACTTTATCTGAGAAACAATGGTTTAATTAGTATAATCTCTGTTACAATGGTTAAGGTGGGTTCTTACCGGTATTTGAGGATGAATATAATTCTGTTTTTTGTTTTTTTTCAGTTACCAGTAAACCTTACACCTTAACATCAGTTTACGTATTCTCTATACATTTTCCTAGCTGCTTTAGTTGATGACCATTTCTTTTTAGAAGCATAATGGTATAGTGTGCAGTGTCTTTTCCAGGAAGTAATTATAATGCCCAATTTGCTAGGACTTGTACTCACAACTATACTGACCTGATATCAGACTAGCTGAATTATATGTTACCATTTCTTTCCCAATCTTAAGTTCTTACTTACACATTTGTATCTAATCTTACAGGCTGGCCGAGCAGTAGAAGCAGCTAGAGCAGCTTACACATGTACAGAAGCTCAACCACAAGACAAGGCCATGGCAGACAATATAAAAATCTACAAGAAAATGCCTGGTGTTACAGAATCTGGGATTTTCTCATTAGAACCCACACTTCATCAAGAGAGTTATTTCAATGCTGCTCGTTTGTATGAAGAAGAACAGTGGAGTGATGCGATCCAGGGATTTGAACAAGCTCTTGAAGAGTATTACACTGCTTATGACAACTGCAAAATAATGTGTGAAGAGGAACGTGAAAAGAACAAGATTTTAAGCAGAGCTGGCTTGTTTGGGGTTCATGTTGACATTTTGGAATGCCGCAATGGATGCCCTGATAAGCTGAGAGAAGTGAAGGGGATTTTTGTGAGGAACTATCTTGCAAGACACTACAACTATCTCCAGATGGCTTACTTTAAAGGTTAGTGTATCGTCAATATGTGTCTTGAATTAACCCTATGCACAGGACAGTGTAATATCCTAATGAAATGGCTTGGACTATATTCTATAGGTCTTACATCTACATTGCTTGCTGTAAAAGGAAAAACATCTTTTTTTTTTTTTGACAACCTTGTTCAAAATTGATGTTTTGTAATATTTTATTCCATTCACTTGCATGAAACTTTTAGTTATGATTTTGATGAACCTTGACCTAACTTTGGTCCATAAAAATTTAACAAGAAACTACACTGCAGCAATCTTGACTTCATGTATATTAGCTCACTCAAAGGTATATTTGTCCATGTACTGTACATGCACATTCTAGATTCTGCAGCTTATTGGGTGCAAAGATTTAATTTGGCTTTATTTGCCCATTTTTCTCTGTAATCATTATTGGTACATTTTTGTGTCTGCTGTTTGATTATCGCCTGTTACACTGATCAATTTTCAATTCCCAGTGGGAAAGTTATGGGATGCTGCTGGCTGTGCCGCAAGTTATTTGCTGTTGGATCCAGATGACGATACAATGATTGACAACTTGAGATATTTCAAAGGGGAACTGGGAGATCAGAGCCTAAAAATAACAGCAAGAAAGGTAACTTAAATACAGTTGAACCTCAGTTATCTGGAGTTGTTGGGACTAGATGATGAAATGGTCCAGATAATTGAGGGTCCGGATAATTGAGAATATGAATATTAATGGTGAACAAAAACTGATTAAATTCAGAAAGTGACATTTAGTCCTCAAACAAAACATTTACAAATCGTTTTGAAAAAGATATGGTCTACATCTTCACAGAGTGTCTTACATGAATACCTCTACACGTGTGTATTAACAATTTAAATTAATAAAAAATATTTTTACATTGGCCTAAAATGTTGAAGTAAGTCAGTTTGTCTTAAAGAAGAACATAATCTGTACTTCATTTTTCAGTGCTGTAGTTTTAAAAAGAATATGGCAACAGATCTTAATCATGAGTAATAAATATTCATGAAAAAATTGGGGAGGGAGAAAAAGTGTGGAAAATCGAGAAATCCAGATAATCGAGGTCCTGATTATGGAGGCTCAATTGTAGTAATAAAATTTATGAACTTAAACCTTGTATTTATCAGCAAAACACAATCAAGCAAATAAGTATACTAATTAAAGTAGGTAATTTTTTAAAGAAACTGTGATGCTGTTTCATTGGGAGAGTCTTATATAACAAGATAATTTCAATTGGTTTTATCAACTGAGTTGATAATTAATATAAATGGCCCACTGCAAAGGTTTTCTAAAGCTGTCTTTCTGACTGTGTGCCTTCATCAGAGAATTCATGGATTCAAATTCACCCTTTGGATTTGCTCTGGCAAATTGCTAATTGACATTGAAAATATCAGCTTTAGAATCTCTCCATGGTTACCAATTTACTTTTAATGCAGTTGATCACAGAAAATAATCTTACAAGCAAATGTCATGCAGACAGCTGAGTTTAGAGCATGTAATTCTCGAATGGTCTACTAGGTTTCGTGCTGGAAAATAAGGTAAGAAGCATGACTAGGAGCTGGGAGTTATATTGTGTTTCTAATCATTTTCTCACAATTCATGACTTCTTTCTAGAGGATGCTACCTGTGGTGTTTTGTGGTGTAGAAAGTGAAAATTAAAATCATTTCATGTGTTCATAGTCACTGTCAGTGTGAGGTGGTTTTGTCACATTGTTTGGTTGGTCTTTACTGTTTAATTCCCATGAGTGGCCAAGAAAGATACTTTTCTTTTAATATCAAGCAGAAGAGTGATAAAGGAAAGAAAAGTATAAATTAGGGGATTATTAGTTGATCCAATACCAAATTCTTGGAACTAACATCATAAGAATCATGTGACACATGGTAAGGGGAATCGATAATGAGATTATGGGACTGAAAGGGTTGGCAAAAAAACCCAAATTCTAATACAGTACTGTTACTAGTAACTCCAGTTTACGATGACATATAATACTGTTACTAGTAACTCCAGTTTACGATGATATATAATACTGGTACTACTGGCAACTCCAGTTTATGATGACATAATACTGTTACTGGCAACTCCAGTTTACGATGACATATAATACTGTTACAGGCAACTCCAGTTTACG